GAGCAGCCATTTCAGTTCCCATCTCAGCTCTGATCACCTCCCTCACTCCAGACCCCAAATAATACTGCCCAATTGGATACTTTTGAAAAACCTTTTTTGAAGTGTTTTTTGTGTGAGGTCAATGTAAAACACAGACACCCATGATGAAACATTTAGTCCCTTGCTAAATGGGCATTGATAACTTCCTGTAAAGAGGTTTGGATTAGAGTCTAAACATCCAACTAGTGTACACAAAGCTAAGGTATTTGATTGCTTTTATTAATCAGAGTTCACTGTGTTTGATAAAAATGTCAGCACCTGCCTAATGGAATTTGGTCTCTCATATCCAAGCCAGAAACTCACTAGTTTGTCAATTGAAATCTAGTTTTTCCTTATTATTCAAGAGTTACTGTTTGCTTTCTGGTGTTACTGCAAATAAGAAAAAGTTTTCTATTGTGTTTCTTTTCAATTTTTTTAAATTATATTGGAGGTGAAAGAAGAAAAGAGAAAAATATTTACCCTGATAGTGCTGATCAATTGATAAACTTATCACAGTGTGGGAGCAAAGAACCAGTAAATCTTCTGAGCCAGAGGCCACTGTGTCATGTGCTGCTGCAGGCAGGTGATCCTGCAAACCCCCACAGATTAGCAGTGGATTTCAAACTGAAAAGGTGCCCAATGGGCAATTGTTGTGACTTGTGTGAAAGGGTGAAGGCTTCAAGTGATCTGCACTTCATGTGTGTGTGAAGGCCAGTGGTGCTGGGGTGAAGTTTAGTGATCTGAAACTCGACACGCTTCAGCACTTGTGTCCTCCAACAGCTGCTTTGCCACTGTCTTCCCTCCAGTTTCTGCAATGGTTAAGTACAAATGCAGAGGAAGATGCATTTTGAAGCTGCTTGTTCTAATCGTTTGGCAATGTCTTTGCTTCCCCTGCCTGATCTTTTCCTCCATCCAGCCTTTCGTGGATCTCAGTTAGGAGCAGGTATCTTTCAAAAGGCTGTGTCTGCCTTTAGACCTTGTCCTGGCAGAGGCCTGGGGATGACAAACATCATGCAAACATGGGATAATGTTGCTCTCAGGTTCCCCAGAGCACCAGCACAAGCAGGCCAGGGCTTGTAGGATTCCCACCCAACACATGAGTCTGCTCACCTGGGCAAGAGGGGCTCTTGTGAAGCGTGTTCTGAAGCTTCAGGAGCAGCCCTGCAGGAGTTGTCAAATCTTCATCCAGAGGCCACTGAAACTGGAAACCTTGTCTGTGCAGCCTGGACACTTCCTGGCTGAGCTGCAGAGCAATCTGGCATGAAACATCAGTCTGGGCTTCCTTCTTGGTGCTCAGATACTGACCTACTTGGGGCTGCTGCATTTTCACCAGCTGTTCTGTTATCCAGCCACTTTGATCCATTGCTCCAAAGACTTCAAGGCTTGTGCTGGGCTTTTGTAGACCCTCAACAAACACAGTAAGTGATAACACTGATGAAAGGAGCCTGAGCTCATGCACACACCATGGGCTTTGAAGGCAGCCTGACCAAAAGCTTTGCAACAGGCTAGATATGCTCACACATCAAACCTATTGCAAAGCTTCCTACTGGTTGGGTTAGATTCCTCCTCTTCTTTCTCCTGACACTTGATACTGCTCCAACTTCAGGGAGCAGTTGCAAATCCAGATCCAATGCCTATTAAAGACCAGCATCTGCCTGTTCTCTGGTCTTGGAATTTTATGAGATAAGCTAGAATACAGTGAGCACCTGAAATAAAAGCTCCTTTTCTTTGTTTGAATGGAACTTGTGCATGAGGACCTGGGTGCATTTGCAACTTAAATAAAAATACAATTGAGACCTGGTCCCAGGCAGGCTGCATAGTTTGTTAAGACAGTCTGGGTATAAAGAGTTGGGGGCCTCTAAAGCCAGGTCTTCCCTTTATAAGGATCATAGGATCATGGAATGGTGAACGTTGGAAGGGATCTCAGGTTCCAACCTCCCTGCTGTGAGCAGGGACACCTCCCCCCAGCCCAGCCTGCACAAACCTCACTATTTACTTGTCTCCATTTCTCAAACCGCCTTTACGTGATCATGTTTCTTTGGCTTGATGAGGAATTGGACCCTGAAGCCAAAAGTCATTTTGCTGGGGTTCATCTCTGGTGCTCAGACCTGGTACACCCTTGAAGAGTGGAAAAGCAGCTGTGCTAACATTATTTTTACTTCTGGAGGTCAGCTTGGGGGAACCGAAATATGTTCTTCAGACTTTGGGGTTTTTTTCTTCTCTTCTGATTTTTTTTTTAATTTCTCTTTTTGGTTACTCTGCTTACACCGGAAACTCTGAATAGGTATATTTGTCAGCTTTTACAGTAAATTTCTTCTTTCCCCACCCCCCAAACCTGGAGCCAGAAACTACCATCCTTCCCCACCCTGATTCTGCAGGGAGGGCCTTTGAAGTCAGTGGTGACTCAGGGATAAGATGCTGCCCAGAGGTGCAGTTCAGCCTCTCGTGCCATCCAGAGCAGAGCTTGTGTTTGCCTTGGCAGGGCTGGTGCTTTCACACAGTGTCAGGAACAGCAGCAATGTCTGATCTGAGCAGCTTTTTCTTTTTTTTTTCCAGCCAAGTACAAATAAATAATTGCCAAATGTAAATAAATCTCTCACAGGACCAAGAAAACACCTTGGTGATGGTTTCTCAGAGCAGCTCGTAGCGCAGCACTTTGGAGCACTGTTGTTTGCCCTCAGATAAAATAATAGCAATTACACTCAAGAAGCAAAATGTGAACTGTATTAATAGCTCCTTGTGGATGCTCTTCTGCAGGATTCAGGTGGCCTTGGCTCTCTTTGTTCACTGCACTTCTAAAGCCACAGGTTTCATGAGAATGCAAGTAACACTCCCACAAAGGATACCCAGAGAGGGCAAAGGTGGATCAGACAAATCATGAAAAATCCTCTTTTCTTCAGCTATTATTTTAAAACAAACTATTTTCCCACTGCACATAATGGTAACAAAGACAAGAGTTCAATGCTTAAATGTAGTGCTGGCTGGTACCCAAAGTATTTATGATGGCTAAGCAAGATTTCCTGAGTAAATGGCAGGTAGTGAGTAAAAAAGAGTTAGAAAAACTAGTTAGAAACTAATTAGTCAGTTAAATGGTAGAGCAAAGTTGAAAAGTAGTATTTAATTATTTAAGTATTTAGTATTTAAAAAGCAGTATTTAATTTATTTATTTTTTTTTAAGAAATTAAACAGGTGTGTTTATTCTGTTAAATACTTTTAGGTTGACTTACAATGTCTGTGTTCAGATTGATTTTTTCTCCCTCCAGAGAGGAGCAACAGAAACATCTCAGGGTGCAAATAATGGCACATCCTTGGGAGAGACGAGCAGAAATCAAATGATTCATCTGCTTCTGTGAAGCACAGAATGTGAATCTGAGGAAATGCTTCCTGGGTGGGAGATTATTTTAAGATTTGAGCTGGGCACCCACTTGTGCTCCATAAAACCAGAGGCCAGCTGCAGTCTTTAGGAATGGAAACTTAGCAATTAGCATGTTTACAAATCAAAGTGCAATCAAAGGGGGCAGGCACTGCTGCTATCAGTGGCTCTACAAACATCTTTGATGTCCTCTGCTTTCCTCCCCCTATCAATTGCCTCCAAATACTTCATGTAAAAAACAAAATAAGGGTTACTAATACTGGCTTCTGAAGAGCTGAGTTTCCTCTGCTTCCACTGGTCACAAAGCTTTGTGCTGGGCCTTTCTAGCTGGCTGCAAGCTTGGCTTTTCAAAAGGGATCAGAGTTTCTGAGCTCTGAGATGTTTTGTCAAACAAAACATCTGCAAAGCTGTGTCAGGTCCCAGCTCACTGAATTATGAACCTGCTGGCCAGGCCCTGGGTGGGACAGGAACATGACTCTGGGCACTTAAATAACCTGCCTGGTCTCAAAAGCCATGAGGTGTGCATGGCAAAATAGGGATGAGTTCAATGGCTTCCAAATAAGGATGCTTTTCTAACTTGGGTTGCATGTATAGCTTGTGTCTAAATACAGAATATCATGTACTGCTCTTGAATATCTGGTCTCTGCTTTTTTAATGTATCTTCCTGGCCAGAATTATGTTAGATATCTACTAACGAATCTGTATGACAAACCTCTTGGATATGCTCAGTCTGATTTGTCCTTCAGGTGGGTGTAAGTCACTGCAGATCAGTGGCACTGAAGCCACATAGAGCTGATACACACGGGGAAGTCAGGAGGAAGAAAATAAACACACAGGCTTTG